TCATATATTTAACGATTGTTTCTCTGCGTTTCCGTTATAGACAAATTAAACAATTTGTACGATATCGATAATTGCCATTAATATAAGCAAATGAAAATGAAAACTAAATTATGTTTATATCAGGTTATAATAATATTGAAGACAATTCGTCTATTGTCAAATATACTAGATAGAAATAATTTTCTAATAACATTCTACACTGACTGTAATTTAATATTTCAGGAAGATTGATTTTATTTAACTATTATTATCCAATATATTTAATCATACCTCAATAAATTTATATGAAAATACAAAATCTAAATTGATCATTACATAGAATAAGTCTACTCAATTATTAAAATATTCTAACATTAAAAAATGAAGGTTGAATTTTAATTTTAAACTTAAATGTTTCTATTTCTAAATTTTACTTGAAACAATTAATATAATTATTAAAGGCAACATAATATATTACCTTCGAAATTTGGAATTTGTAAATTATAAAATTTGAGGAACCTATTATAGAATAAATACAAGAATGATTAAGAATCAAATGTAAAAAAGTTGAATATTTATGTTTACCGTCAAGATTTTTAAAATTTTGATCAAATATTCTCATATTTATTTTCTATGTTTCTATATTATAATAAACTCTTTATATAATTAAATTCTATAAGAAGAGGGAAATATATAATATTCAAAATTATGAATATTCAACATCAGAAATTGCACTTGTTAGTTATTATTTATGTGTGAATGTTCGAGATTACGAGAACCTATAAATACAACTATAAATAGAAGTAATATAATTATTAGCTTTTAAAATCTCTTTATAAATAAATATACTTTGAACTAATTAAACAGAAAACTATAAAGACTATTATACACTTTGTATATAGTTTTAATATTAAGAAGATCATTAATTTTTAATTTGATCAAAGTTCGTTTAAAGGTATGAAAATGGATTAATAGAATTTGATAAATCTATGTGTTAATTTAAAAAATCCAAATATTTATAATTATCTATATTCATAATGTTTTTTATGGTTCCGATTCTTTTAGATAGATTGGAATCCGAAGATTCCATGTTCCTTGAATAAATGACCAGCACACTTGAATTATAAACTATCTTACGAGAAAGATAAAAAACAGTGTTCTTTAATGCAAGTAAGAAGATTTATTTTTTCACACGCCATAATATATTTCATCAAATTTCTTATGATAATAAAAGCATATTAGATAACTACAAAATATTTGTCAGGTTCTCGGTTTAAATTGAAGCAATATAATGCACTCTATCCAACATTTTGCATTTTGAGAGAAATACACGTAGTAAATATATGGATATTAATTGATATTCGAATGCGTTTTGGAATCGCATGTAAACCAGTCATATCTCAAGCGGATAACAAACAAATCGAATTCGCGGACTACTCTCTGTTGTTTAATTTTCGGAACTTGCTCTTTCATATGTCCGACCTTGCGTAGCAATTACTACTAGGTGTTGATGGGAGACGCCTTTCCTACTTTATTCGCCTGGAATCTAATCGTTTTCAAATTATCTGAATTACTAAGAAGTTAAATCGCTAGAACTAAAGGATATTCCATATATAAAATGATAATTATCTCGGATAACCCTCCAATTCGACTCTTGCAGATTATCCAAGTCCTTTGCTTAATATAATTTTCTAATATCGTGAAAAACAGAGGGACAGGACAAACAATTCTAAGTAATAATCAAAGGAATAAAATGGGGAGACCTTAAAAATAGTTTACTATTATTAACTATAAGTAATTTATAATAATCTGTAATATACAAGCAAATATTGTATAATATAATATCAATTATTTAATTCTTTTTATTTTTCAATTATAATTTTATCGATTATATTCATTGATGTGATATTTAAAAATATACATAATTAATATAAAAGCTGAATAAAGAAAATAATTTATAATAAAAAATACTATCTTCAATTTCGTAAAATTTTTAGTAAAAGAAATCCGCAAAAAATAATTAAAAATAACATATTACAATTAAATTCACATGATTTTTATGCAATACAGTAAAAAAAAATTAGTTTAAATTTCTTGTAATTATTACGTATATTTTTATTATTATTTCCATTAAAATATTGTTTCAATTTAAATTAATGAAATTTATTTATGAATAATAATAAATATGCATACAAAACATCAAATGTGTCAGTATAATAGAATGAAATAAATTTCTCTATTAATTGTTACTCAAGAAAATTTAAAAAAAAGAAATTTTAAAATATTACTATATTTAACTAAACGGTTTTATATAATACCATGTAATATTAAAGTTGAAAAATATGCAACCTGTTTTCCAAATTAGTTAAAATTTTAAGAGGTTTTAATTAGTTCGATACCAACTTTTTATAGGAAAGCAAGATTTTTATAAAAAGTTTGTTACTCTGCAAGAGTCATTGTAATAAACGAAAATAGCAATTCATATACATTTTGTTTCAGTCAGTTCACAATTTTTTGTATGAAGGCGATTGTAGTCCACAGGATCGCATTGAAATTAACTAAAATAAAATTGCGGCTGTCAACTGTGTTGATCAAAGTAAAAGAAAAAGGAATAAATTAATAGGAATAGCCAAAATGAAATAAAAATGGGTAGCAGCAACACAGGGTATGATCTCTACATACGATCTTCTATACTGTTCAGACCCACTATCCCCCCTAAAATTATCGCCTTTCAAAGGCTCAGTCTATTAATTATCGTTGGTAATTGCTATTGCAATATCTCTCCTTCTACTAAATCGATCAGCATATGTGCATAGTAACAGACATATTTCTTTTTCATTTTTATCTCTTATTCATGATATGCATTCTACATGCGCATTCCGCATATTACACCAAATGAAAAGTACAGTTACATTATTTAATGTAAAAAATAAGAACGAATGTTAAGATTATTTTTCGAATGGTAGGTTTTGCATATTTTTAAAAACTATTTTATAATATTCAATTATATAATTTAAATATTTTTATGCTATTATAATATATAGTAGACTATTAAGAATAAACAGTAATTTAATATAATCTTAGTATATAGTTTAAAAGTTCAATTATAACAAATTTATTTAAATTTTGGCATTTTGTACAAATACAATGTTTTAATTGAATCGTAGATTTTAGAGAAAATTTAAAATAAATTATCCAATGAGAATGAATTTTTTTAATATATACCATATTTTTTTATTTGAAATAGAATTTCTGTTAAAGTATTTTCGGAATTATTTACTGCCAAAATGCTCCAACGCAAAAAATTAATAAATTTTGTAATTATATGTTTAATTAACATAATATATTATATTACAATATATTAGTATAATACAATTATGATTTAAATATTGCTAATAATAATGACTATACTTAATGTCTTTAAAATAGTCAAGAAATCTGTACATATCTCCCTCAATCGTTTCTTATATATATCAATAATATTGTTTTAAATTTTTCTAACCCAATCACTTTCACTCGATGCAAATCTTTATTTGGTAACCATCGTGCATATGTATTGAATTTTCCATATAACATTAGACATTCTGTTTGTCTAACATGGCAGTACTTGATCTATGTCCTACAGTTTCTCATATAAATGTTCAGTATTCTCACTTCGTCCAAAACTGACTGCAGACACGTCCATCGTTTGCCAACACTTCGTAATTCCATCATCTTCTGTATAACTCTCTAACTATGTATACGCAAATACACAATGTTGATTAGCATCTTGTAAGCGGGTCAGTTCAATTTTACGCATGGAAGCATGCCATTACGTCTAATCCTGAATGTACATCGTGTGATTTAATTTAACGATAAGGTCAATCAATTTAAGCCGCTTTCGCGAGCGGGAGTTTAGATTCTCCTCTACCTTTTCTCTCACCACAACTTTTCCTTGCTTCTCTTCCTTTTCCTTTTACTTCTACTTCACTTATTATTGCCTATCTTTCGCATATAAATATGCATTCACGATTGCGAACACACACACACACACATATATTTATTCACGGGATATTCTTTCTGTTCTCTTTTTTTATACGCTCCCTTTGTATATATATTATATTTTTCAGTGAATTTAGTTTGCTCGTTACGTACTTTTTTTCTAAACATTTATGAAATGTAATAATATATATAGTACATATGTACAGTAGAACCTCGAATCACTAAATAAAGAAATACATTGAAAGAAGAAAAATAGTCTCTCAGATTTACATTCCTTAAAATGTATTACATGTTTTCACTATTAGCTAATATTAATAAAAGCCAAAGTAATTTTTCAATAATTTCCTACAAAATCATATTTTTGAGGAAATATATTTATATATGAAGCCTAAAGCACTAATAACAAATGGTATGGTTATGCACTTCCAACAAGTACATAATTCTTTTCCTGGTTTTACAATGAAATTAAAAAATTAAATGAATATATCAAAGTAATATAATCATAAATTGATTAAATTTATGTTTTATGAATTTCTTTTATCAATAGAAAAGATAAATCAATCAAATTAGAAAGAAATTCCTAAATAAATTTTACTAATGAAATTATTATATATTCAAAGAAAATTTTACTTAAATAATATGAAAGTTATTAAATTTCGAATAATGTATTATATTAACTGCAGAGTATAAGAACAGTAATATAACAAAAGTTTTATTGATCATACAATTTTTATTTCACAGTTATAATTAATATGTAAAATATAAAATACGAACAAATATATTTCCATATAATATTAATTATTCTCAGCAATTTATAAACTCAAGAAATGCTTTAAAATATTTCATATAAAAATAATAATTATGAATTGTTTCATTTCCTTCATTTTAAATGATGTACTTGCATTAATTTAAAGTAAAAAAGTAAAAAATCCTGTATTATATAGTGGTATAATATGAAAAAATTTAACAGATTTTATATATTCAAACAAAATAAATAAAATATATAGTTACAATATTAATATAATTATCATTATTTATAGTTCCACCTGAACAGCCAGCTATTTTAGACATGTGGGGTCGAATACTCAATGGAACATCCGGTCCATACAAAGAGGGCGACAATCTTTCTCTTACATGTCGTGTTACTGGAGGTATGTAAATATAAGCAAACGTTCTCAATTACGCAAAAATTCTCATAGTTAATATTTAAGTTGTCAAACAGATTTTGTTCGTTCGGGTATTTTATGAAAGGATACATTTTTACAAGTTTTGTCATCCCTAACAATATGACAACCGATACGACATACCCCACCGCAAAGTAAACCATTATTCTTTATAACTCACACATAGCACTCTTCCTTAACGTTTATTGTATATTCTTAAAAAAATTCTTTTTTTACATAATATTCAATTTAAATTTTTGTTATAGTTGTTTGAGCGAATATATATTAATTATATATTTTTACAAATTAAATTAAGTTTTTACTGATTAATATATATTATTAATAAAATAAAGATATACGTATTAAAAAAATTAAATAAAATATAAATAATTTTTTTATCTGATTTTAATATTACATTGCTATTACTTACATTATAATCAAATGTAGGTATAATATAGTACATATAATTATTTTCAAATAAAATTAGTTTAATTTATTTACTATTTATTTATATATCTATACTATTAACTTTCCCTCTTTCGATTTTTGCAGTTCTTATTAACATCTATCAATTGCATCCCAATATTTTCATTAAACTTCATTCTGTGATACTTTATATACTTTATTATATACGACTCCTAATACGACAAATATACTAATAATTAATTTTTATACGTTCAAATAATATTTTAACTGTTCAATTATTTTATAACAATAAAATAAATAAAAAATTTTTTGTTTAAATATAATACTTTTTATATTATTACCTTTATCATTCAATTTTAAATGATAAATTTATAAAAGATATTAATAATAATATTAACCAGAATTTTTAATAAATTAGATATAAAAATTTTGTAAAAACCTTTATATCATATTAAATATATGTGTAAAAATATAACTACTAAATTAAACGCAATCTATAAATAATTATAAAATTTACTAAAGAAATTGTATTAAATACGTTTTCAAAATTTTAATGATTATAAATTAGAAATATAAAAACAGTATTTTGAATATTTAACGATCTGCAAATTTATTTAATTGCTTTTTTTTTTTTAATTAGATTTCAAAGGTTTATTAATATTAACTTTATACTTTGAATTTCAATTTATAAAATATCTTTCAATGCTAAAATTTCCTAAATGAAATTGCTATAATATATAAAACTGTAATTATTAAAAAATTAAATTACATTATTGTTCTATAATAGAATACTGAATAATTTATTATTCTTGTGTATTATTGTATATATTTGTTTATATTTGTAAGAAAGTTTTTATCTATACTTTCTTGTAATCGCATAAAATATAATAACATTTTAATATTTATTCTATATTTTATACAAGCGTTACTTAATTATTATGAGGAATAATTTAATTTAAATTGATATCAATTTCATTTAGTTCAATTACTGATTTTCTTAATATTAATTGATCATGATTTCTATAATATTTATTAATTTAATTATATTCTATATTTATAATTTTATTTATTATTTCACGCTTGTTTCTCTAATATAATCTGTGTGCTTTTCTAGAGAGAAAGTTTCTACTGTTTGTTCTGTCACGGCGGAGTTGCATCTAATTATGTATGCAGAACTTGCTAAACTTTGCTCTTAATTAAAGATCAAGCAAAATTTATGATGAAGTATGTAATATATAATGAATAAAGTAATTTAATTTTGAAGATCGTATCGAAATATACATACATATGAAATTCAAATAGATCATTTATAGATTTATAAAGAAGTTTAAATTAAAAGAACAGCAAAAAACTAACCATAATTCGATATATTTTATTCAATTTTGTAATAGATAATAGAGACTTCGTTAGATAGTTATTAGACAATATGTAAAATGAAAATAATGACTGTATATGGTTTCAGTCTGTCTATTATTAGATTTTTAAATTGCATGTAAAATAAATATTATATTATTAAATTATAAATAAATTTTTTTTTAATAAATTATTGTAACACGCATACTTGACTTTGAACTATATATAATAATTTTTTTATAATCAATCATATGATTTTACTAATGTATTATTTATTAAAATAAAATGACCAGGTATTGGAGTTATTATATTTCGATGTATAAATTCATATATGTTATGATGTAATTATTTTATCATCTAATAAACATTAAGAAATATAAAATCGATAAATTTATTAAAATGAATATATAATTAATATATGTTAATTAATATAGAATTGTACGTATTTATTATTATTATTATATATATATATATATATATATATATATATATATGTACATATCATGTTAGTTAATGGTCTTTCATAAACAAAATATATAAAATTATTTAAAATTATGTTTAAATTAAATATTTTTAAGAAATTATTATTACAGGGTTTTAACCTTTTTCTCTAAATATAAAATTTTATAAATTTTTATATATTTCTAAATATAAATTTCTAAATATAAATATTTAAACTAAAGAATAGAAATATTTTATAAGAAAGATAAATTTTTATAAAATGAAACAAATCTGTATTACTTATCTAAACAATAATTTTTTATTAATAAAATTAATAGTATCCTAAGATTCTTTTTAATGCAATAATAACAAACAACATAATATACGAGTACGGAATGTAAATAATAATTTGAAAAAAATAGTCAATATTGATAGAAATTAGCATGAACCAAATAGAAAGCTCTTCGTACAATAGTCTAAAATTTAAGATATTAACACGAATATATAAAAACAAGAACAAAGAAATATTAACACAAACAATTTTTTATTTCGACCATTTTTTTGTGTCTTTTTATAATTAAAAACTTATTTTTAATAATTTCCTCTTTCCTTTTACAATCAGAAGTACATTAATTCTTACACAGATATATAGAAAAAAGAAATATATTTATAACGTCCAATACAAGAACTTACTGTACATAAGTCACACTTTATGGAAAACTTAATCATTGCTAAGGAAATCATTCAAAATGTTCATGAAATTAAACGAGTATTTATAATTATATATTATGACATATAATTATAATAATTAATTAAGATAAACTCATAATATTAATATTAGTATAATAGAATCCAACAAAAATCAGTTTATAGAATATAATCACATAAGATAAAATATATAAATAAAATACTTGCTATGCTTATTGATAAAATTAACGGTAACAGAGAATAACATTACTACAAATGCATTATAATAATTTTATTAATTATGCGCTATAAATAATCAAAACTCTATTTCATGTATAAATGAAATAATGTCAATTTATAACTGTTACGGATTGCAGCATTTTACGCGGTAAACAAAGTGGGAGAGGTAAAGACACCTGCTTAGGTCAAAATATTGCGTGCAAGTCGTAAACACGATTCTACGGAATCGGGAAATTTCGATACTAAAATAGTCAAAATTAAATTACAATTCCGACTAACAAGGGCCGACGAACTCTCCAAGGCTAGATTCTAGCGACGTCACTTCAACTATCAGCATGACAAGAGCAATCTAGAATTCACTGGAATCGTAAGCCTGTACTATAATATTTAAGGAGACGCGCTTGACGCTCTCGTCCTCTTACTAGTTCAATCAAGCAGTCATCAAGATCGGATCGCCGTCCCACAAGTTAACTCCACTTACACATCCATAATCCTACCAGAAACACTAGCAATAAAACAAAAAATTGACGAAATACACAATGCATTCACAATAGAATATAAATCCATTGCCAATAGCTGGCCATTGTCAGGCGCATCAAATGAATACTTCACAAAGAACGCCATGATGGAAGAGTGCATCTGCCCCACTACAGCCACAACATTGATCATGCAATTATCTCAAGAATTAGGTTCAACAACCACCACTACACCAAGGCCTTCGAGTGCAGATGACAGGATACTGCCAGCAGAGGCTCGTGGAGTGACGTATCTTCCAGACATCCCTATCCCCAAGTTCGACGGAAACTACCTTGCATGATGGCCCGCCTTCAGAGACCTGTTTTAATCACTAATACTTAAAAGCAACAAGCTAAGCGAAATTCAAAAGCTACACTATTTGCGGAACTCTCTGCAAGGAATACCCGCAGAATTAATATCAGGCATGCCGCTACAGCACGAGTCATTGGAATCAGCCTGGCAGTTATTGCAACAAAAATACAACTCACCCCGACTAGCTCTGAAAGCGCTTATTACGTAAGCAATCACTATCTCATCAACAAGAGTGAAGGGAGTCCCGGATGTGTCGACTTCAATGAGCAAACTACGCAATCTACGAAGATCACTGATGCAACATAATGTCACAAACGCATGGGACGCACTACTGCTACATGTGGCATTATTACAATTAGACGAGCAAGTAATAACAGCCTGGGAACAATCATTGGAAGACAATTCATACCCACTATTCGAGAAGTTTGATTAATTCGTAATGACAAGAATGGGAGCACTAGAAAATGTAACAATGGCAAGCACACAAGGACTTCAATCGTCAATAAAACAAGCCCAACATCGTACGCCCAACAAAAGGTTCGTAAGATTGTGCCAATCATCCACCACGCACGAACCACCAGGTTCAACTAGAAGGAAAGACGACGTAAAATCACAATGCTTTCACTGCAAGGAACTGCACCACATTTGGAAATGCAATAAATTTAAGCAGCTCAGTCCCACTCAGAGACTGGCCGTAATCAAGGAGAAGAGGCTATGCCATAACTGCCTGAGCAATCATTTGCCACAGCCTTGCTTAAACAAGAGAAGATGTTGCGTATGCAATAAGGCACACCACTCATTGCTACATGACGCACCAGACAACACATCAACCAACGTCCAGTCATTACACACCACATGAGTAGACACGAGGCACACCAGTGAAAGTGAGCACCAACAACCAATAACATTATTAGCCACTGCTGTAGCTAAGGTGATCATACAATCAACGACACAACAAGCCCGGCTACTCATAGACACTGGTTCCGAAATCACAATCATCACGGAAAGATTGG